GCAGCCTCTCCAATCCCACTAGCCTCGTTTAGACCCACTGATTCTGTGGGCAATATCACTCCATCAACCCGCAATTTCTGCATGAGGCTTTACCAACATTGTGCAGCTGTCCGATGGCAATGTCGCTCAACCTACAAATTACAACGTAAAGTCCACTTTTCTACTTTAAGCAAGAACAAATGAGCGCCGGTTGTTCGCGAGGTGGTGCTACGCCAACCACCCTGTCACAGGCAGTGCGTGACAACAATCTCGCAGTTGCAAGACAACTACTGCAAAATGGGGTTAGTTAGCTCCCCTCCTCCTCCTCCACCTTCGCTTCTTCTTCCTCTATCTTCTTCTTCTTCTTTTTCCTTCTCTTCTCCTCTTCCTTCTTCTTCTTCTTCGTCTCCTCCTGCTTCTCCTTCTGTGTTAGCTAGACGTTGCCTCGCTCACCTTATGCAAGATGAGGAGGTGGGAAGAGAGAGCTCCGTCCATGCACCTGTGTGCATCACTCACACAACTCGCACAACATGACACATACGACTCACACCCTCCTCATCCCTCATATGTAATATAGTCACCACTTTCCGTTGCCAGGCTGATCCTAACGTAGACGCAGAGGAGAGCAGTTCGAAGCCACTCATAGCAGCTACAGCATCGGACAACATGGAGATGATGCAGCTCCTCCTCGAGTACGGGGCGCGCACTTACTTCTGTGACCATCATGGCAACATGACTGCTGTCGACCTGCTGTGCCGCTATGACAGCACCGCCAATTTGCAGAACAGGCGCCACCGAGCACCGATCATAGAAGGCCGCAGCCATGGTCACCACGATGTTGTGCAATACCTGCTTCGTGCAGAGCACACTGAGGCTGCATCCAAAGTGGACGAAAGTGGACATACACGCGTTCATACCACTACTACTACTACCACCACCACTGCTGCTACTCTCATGGCAAGTAATGCACGATCTTTCAGCTCTATTTGCCTCATTCTGCATGACATGCTACTGCAACAAATGTATGCCAATGCGTGACTTCCCCTGTCTTGTCAACACCCCATCATCAAACACCTCCTCATCGTTGTCATCTTGCTTTATCACCCTACCTCCATTGTGCACCTCTATTTCCCCTCCTCTGTCTTCTTTACGTGCAATCGCAAGCCTCTTCATTCCCTCCACTCCCCTCCTCCTCTGCCTTCTGCGCTCCCCTCCAAAGAGAGACGAAGGCGACTAAAGCCTTTCAAATTCACTCCAACTTCATGCAGTCCCACACAGTGGGCAAACGAACCACCGTTGACCTTGCTAATGCCATAGTGACTCTTCCCGAATGCGACGCACACCAACGAGAAGTCTCATTTTTATGCAAAATTATCATCACTCCACACATAAGTCGACAATGTGCACACAAAAGAGGTTTCAACATTGAAATAATTCCTTCCTCCTTCGTCGGATTACTCCATTTAAAACAGCATCGCGACCACAAGCGATGCAATGAAACCTACAACGAGTGGCACGCATTTGATGCTGCAGATGCAGAATGAGGCGCATATTGGGGCACGTTGTACAAGAGGCTGCATACTGGTGCAATGTAGACTACGAGAGGCAACGCGAGCGAACCTACCTCTGTGTTTGAAAATCGTCCCGCATTCGGCGAGATTTGAATAAATAAAATGGTTAGTTGAATGGATAAATGCATTCGTCTCTGTCTGACGATGTATTGGCCATGAGCCGAGGGAAGTTTGGAGTGGTTGGTTCGTCGACTCACTGGAAGAGGATGTGGCTGGACGAAACGCTGAAAGGAAGAGTTAGTTTCCACTTGCCGCCCAGTAAGTGGCTGCACAATGCTCCCTGCAAACAACTTTGCTAAAACTGTGTTAACTTGAGCTATTGTTGAGTGCTCTGATGTGCGCACGCTCGTTGGAGAATGGTGAAGTGCAATTTGGACTCTGTCTTATACGAACACGGAACTTTTCCATCACGAAACTTACCATTGCATTGCGCGACTTCAGGCGACTCACCTAAGTCAAAGCAACACGATCAGTCAATTCGATGGAGCTGGCTCTAGAGTTGGTTTCTGCAAGCTCACACGTCATTTCACATCGACGACTTGGAAGGAAGGAAGGAGACACGTACACCGTCATCAGTTTCCATAGCCACTCACCTTCTTGTGT